TATACCATCAAAACTGTTTGTATAATTGAGCTCACCAAGGAAAACTCACAACTTTGGTAACCACTTATTGAGAATATAATTTACAAATGGCCACAAAATGTAAATAACTGGTGGACAATATATAGCACAATATGGACACAATGTTTCTGTTTCTATGTGTAGTCATGCAGTACTCATCAGTCAGTGGACGTCTGTCGTTGCGCGGGCCAGCTCGTCTGCAAAATTGTTCCGTTTTTGTCTTAACAGACTTGCGCAATCGCGATTAACGTCAGAGCGAGATATTTCCATTACATGAATTCTGATTGGTGTAGGGTACTTGGCCGTCATTTGACAAGCGAATAAAGATGCGGGTAACATATTAAGCTTTTATTTCTTTTTATTTCCAAGCCAGATTCTGTTGCACAAGATTCGGCGAAGCTGGCGATGCTCGGCAATGTAAGATTTTTGTCTTACTTCCATATTTATAAGAAATTCACTTCAGTTTTCTAATTTTATAAAATAATCACATCGATATTCACTTTCTATAACTCAAACGGGTCACTTTTACAATTTTTATAAGATTTTCACTTCGTTTTTTTACAGTTTTTAAAAAGCATCACTTCGATTTTTACACCTTTTAAAACGAGTACTTCGCACTTCGTTTTTTACCCATGTGGAGGCTCCAGAATAATCGATGTTTACGTGTTGTTTTCGGAATACTTCTGACGCTTTGTGAGTTGATTTGAGTGGAGAGCCTTTCGTAACGTTTTTGATATTTTTTTGAAATAGAAGTGGTGCACCCACGTACGTATTGTTTGATGACGCAAGCTTTTGTTCATGATTGACAGGATTATAAACTCAGTAGTGTTTTGTGCTTTTAGACTTTTCCATCTTAATTGCCAGAGGAGTAATGTGTTATGATAGCGACTTTGTCTTTGCATTCCATTTCCACGCCGTTAGACTTGTGTTGAGATTAACGACTTGTGTGTTCAGTTTGAAGATTATAAGCGTATATGACAAGAGTTTGATTAATAGATTGTTTATTCATTGTTTATTAGTGACCGCTTGCAATACTTTAACCGAGAGACGCATCCCTGGTAATCATGTGATCGTGCTGTCGACGGCCGCGATTAGCCGATCACATGGTTACACTGCCGCGCCTTAGTTTTTTTGATCTTTTGATATAGAGTTTGTACCCTTAGTAACGGGAGACATTGCAGCGAAGGATTTATGTCGGCGGACCGTTTTGAGAAAACGGGACGGTTTGAGCCCCTCCCTGGAAGAGTAGGATATTTAGATTTTTACCCGTTGTTCTTGTGACTTTCTAACTATTGTATTTAATCAGTGTGTTTTACTCTTTTGATTTACACTTTTTTATTAGTATTATATTTTAACCCGTATGGCGATGAGTAGATGGCGGTATCTTTTGATTTATGAACGTGCAATTCCAGGAGGCATAAGCTCAGTCTAAGTGAAGGGATGTGTCATGAATTAGTTTTCGCGTATCTGTTGTCCGACTTCTTTAGCTGATTACTAGTGAATGGCTGTGTTACATCTGCCATCATTTAGGCTCATGTGAGATCCTGGACGGAACTTGACTCAGTGATTTGGAACTAATTACGATATAACCGTCGCCATCCGGACCCAGGTGGGTATTTGCAGTTAGTAATATAGTGAACGATTAATCAAAAGATATGACGTGTCCAGGACTTAGTTTGATTGGCTATGTGCAAGTTGAATGTGTGAAGGTTACGCCCTAATTCTTTAAACTTCTTTGTGATTGGTTAAGTTTTGATACGTAATAAACGGTCTACGTCCTTGGTCCGAGAGCGAGCTCCACGAGGCGAGAGTCTTGGTCAGTGCTGGGCAGAGACCCCGACGAGGCAGTTTGCCATGAGGCGTTCCCGATGTGGCTAAAGACTAGCTATTGAAACGTATTTCGTTGTGTGCGTCTATTTGACTGTAAAGCTTAAGCAGACGAGATATGGACAGACGACGAATTTCCCCCTGACACCTGCATATATTCCGATTTCTTTCAAGGCGATGTGCATAATTATATGACACAATCCGCAAGTCGCAAGGAATGCCATGTTCCTAAAGCCAATTTTAACACAGGGCAGCTAACTTTTAGTTACCATTATGCTAAACTGTGGAACACCTTACCATTAGAGTTGAACAGAACTTCTAATATCCATATTTTTAAAGCTAGCGTATGTGATTTTATGTATAAGAAAATATCCCTGTGAACTACTTTTAATGTTTTTCATACTTTTAGTTTTGTGTGTTATATAAACTTTATAAAATATTGTTTCTTCGTATTTTTTATTGTAATTAGGCCCAATAAAAAATTACTCTGACAGAGTAACTCGGCCGTGTATACCCTTTTACTTAGACGTCGAGTTACTTTGTCAGAGCAATTTTCAATAACCGTCTTTCAAGTATGAATAAAGGGTGCATGTCCTAACAAAGCAATTACAGTGGCGGCTGCACAGCGGGGCAGAGGGGGTTGCCCCCTCGAAAAAATGTTGGGGCGGCGCCCCTCCAAAATCAAGCTGAAACTCTTTATCTTAGCAAAATTTGCCCCTCAAAATGCAGGAAATAGCGTTTCAGAGGGTCTATATTTCAACATTTCTAAGGCGCAAGGTTGGTGATCAGATCCCGCCGCCTCTGAATTACATACACAAATTGTAACAGTACACGATTAAATCAATGTGTGCTGTATTGTCTACTTGCATGCAGTCAACAAATAATGTTTCAAGAAGTAACTTGGTAGTTATGGTCTGCATCAGCCGAGTGTCGTTCAGGATTTCGGAGATCGCTTTTGTAACCTCGGTAAATGTCCTGGCATGGCGAGTTAAGTCAGATCGCTATAATCCGCAGACTTTGGAAGAGCTATATCTCTATATGTTGGATGAAAAGTAAATCTGAATCTTTTATTTGAGAATAGCGAGGGTATAAGATTTGTATTGAACACAATAGTGATAGAGAAAGTTGTTGATGATCACCATACGTGGAGAAATGTGTTGGTGTATCGAATAAATGATTAACCACACAGTACAAAGTGTAAATTTATTATTATTATTATTATTATTATTATTATTATTATTGTTGTAATAAGTATAATGAGTATAATGCAGAAAGGTTATATTACAGATATGGTCAGAAAAACATTACATTTTCATTATATTTCAAATTAATTTACTAACCCAGTATTACTACTACTATCAATCGAATTACTGGAATAACAAAAAAATATTATTAATGATAATGTGATAAGTTAAACTTTGGTTTCATAAGTGAATATATATGTGTTGAATTATGTATGTTAGTACACTCAAAATGCATTATGTAAATATATCTATATCTATAAGACATTAGTGGCGTATGGTACTCCTATCTTAGAGTTTTCTACAGAAAGCAGCAACATGTACCAATAATGCTGAGGTCCTTACCAAACGGACCTATATGATTAGTGAATACTAGTGGAGGTGCAAGACTATTTGAATTATATAGATTATTTGGTTTTCCGATGAGTTTAGTGATGTATATCAGCTTTCCCTGCAATGATAAAACCATGTGTTAGAACAAGAAAGTGTACATAGTAGTAAACAAATAGAGGATTCAAAAAATAAATTGAGCAACGACACTAATAACAAACAATGTTCATCTCTGATGTATGAAATTGTCTAATACCTCGGCAGTCGTTGCAGGTGTGAATATCATGAAGTTTTGGGTAGCGAGAAACGTAGATGAGTCATTCTCTTTTCCAACTGGCGGCATACTCATGAATCCTTTACCTACTCCAGGAATGTTCACGCTTTCATTGTAAGACCCAAGATAATAAAAAGGCAATGTAATCTGAAAATAAATAAATGCATATATTCAACCACTTTATTATTTTCTACATGTCTGCTGTGGAATAGGTATAGTTAATTACACCGTGACGACTAGCAGTACTATTCCAGTGTATTTGCACTGAAGGTCGTAGGTTTGAATGGCACTGAAATGCCTGATACTGAAACGTGTGCGAATCCAAATATGTGTGATCCGAAACTGTGCGTGTTACTATACGCATATGAAAACAATTAGTGATTATTATATTTTACATATGACCAAGAGACAAGCGCGGAAGTAAAGAAATAAACACGCGACCAGAACAGTAGATAGGATTACCAAGAGTGGTATAAGTTTAAGAACAGTTCAACATCAATAGTATTATAATACTAGAACAGGCATATTTAGATCAGTATGTTGTAATCAAAATACGGATAACTGTGATTTTATGTTGATGTTTTTTTCTGACTTCTCTCAGCAGTTAAATTAATATTTATTCAGCCGTTCTTTCGGATGGCATGACAAACAAACTAAACAACCTTGGGATAAGTGATATCGGACAACAAAGATCACCATATAAGGTTTGGACAGGTTGAATATATCTTTGTAATGACTTGCGATAATCAGAACAGAACAGTGATGTTGATTTAACACTCACATCAGGCGGTGGTTTATTGACAATAGCTGACGACGTTGGTATGTTGATTACCGTCCCTGACTCTGTGTGTAGTTTACCCCAACACGCCATATGAACATCACCAGACAACACTGACACCTTGGTTTTCTTTTTCTCAGAGAATTTAACCATTATACTGAAAAACCTGTCTCGTTCTTTTCTTCGATCTTTAGTAGTATCCCATTGGTCTAGATAATCGTCTTCAAGTTCCTGTAAATAAACAATTTGCGGGATGACGATAATGATGAATAGCGGTCTACATGTGAATACTGTTTATGTATTATGTATTATCAATTACGCCGTTCTTTTCAATGGAAAACAATGTCGTACCTGTATTCCAGGAATAATTCTGAGTACTCTGTATGGGATCTTTGCAGAAGGGAAGATTAGTGGGGTGGTAACTGTTATGAAAATATGCTGAACACCCTCTATCGAATCCAGTAATAGAATTACCCGCTGCCACGAGTCTTCGCTCAATACCTGCCTGGGAGTTCGTTCCGATCTCAAGTCTAACATCTGAAAATATTCGTAAAATCTTTGAAAACACGGATTACAAAATGTACACTTATTCTCTTCAAGGGGATTAAACAATCAATCAATGCTTACATAATATTATTTACATATTGATTAATTATTTAATTATTTAATTAATTAATTAATTAATTAATTTATTAATTTAATTTATTTATTTATTTATTTATTTATTTATTTATTTATTTATTATGATCATACTTCATATGTTTACTGCTTTTATCCTTACTTTGGATACATCTGCTACTGTGTGCATCGTGTCCAAAAACATGTTATCTCTATTCAATTTTCTTTCACAGACTTATTTATGTTCAATAACTCAATTAACTATTTCTTCGCGTGTTTGACAAAAAAACAATATGTCAGCTCAATATGATAGCGTCACGATACTTACCAAAAAAGCTATGTCTCCATAGCGTACATAATAAGACAATGGTAAGTCTAGTGCGTCATTTCCGGGCCATGGTGTTAACCAACCCAAACAATGCTTTCCTTTCAGGGCCATTTCACTGAAAATATATTTTTGTATAATACAACAGAGCACTTATAGAATGCAACAACGTGTTGGTGTAGTACTTTTTATAACGAAACTCACTGACGTGTTGATTTGCTTCTGTAATTAATGAATTATTATTACCTTGAGCAAGTGTTCTTTTGAGATCTGTATATTCCACGATACCCGGTGATAAATACAAATGAATGATATATTAGTCTATAAAATGCAGTTTTACACGGGGCGATTATAACACGCCGATTTCTGTGCGTTGTCTTATAAATCGCCTTGCTCAAAACGGTCAAAAATCCAAACATCTGATGTGTATTTCAATTCACTTGCAAAGCACCTGTTTGGTGACACGTACACCCCCAATGTGTGTATATACGTACACGGTTTAGCTCTCACATAATCCCTGTAATCTTCTATTTTCATGCGATTTAAAGTGGTCATTATTTTTGTTGTTGATATCCCCGATGACAGTCGATGCAGAATTTTGCGCAAAAATGAACAAAACGATTGTAAACATAGAGCTATAGCGCTATTAGGCTATAGAGCTCAAAATGTGTAACTGAAGATAAAATAATATTAATAAAAATGAAATGATTTAATTTATCTATTGTGACAATACCCCCCCCCCCCGGTGCTGATATGGGATTTATGAAATATATCACCAGTGTGACGTCACATCTGAGCTATAACGTGTAACGCCTTAACGACAATATAGTAGAGGAACTGTGGTGAATGCAAGTGCCTCAACTTGTGGCGAACAGTCATAATCTGTAGTGTTAAATTATTAATTTACCCCTTCATCATGTCCACATCTCTGAGGCAACGAAGCTGGAACAACAACATATGACTCCTACCAATATCATAGATACCATCAAACACAGGACACATTTTACGACTACCATAGCCATCAATGATTTCATGGTCATCCCCTGTAGTGATAATAATGCGATGTAAATGAATGAATGAATGAATGAATAATTAATTAATTAATTTGGTGTACATTTTAATTAATTAATGATGTAAAAATATCGTGCATTCGGGACATTTTATAGTGTAGCATTTGATGCACTCCACTCCCCATCCATTGATGGATGATGCACTCCATTCCCTGCCCACGGGGCAGCACGTTTTGAATCCAAAAACTTACACATCATAATAGAAGGTACCCGGGCATACATCCAGGCTGGTTCAGGTTCTCGCCATCTTGTACAATATAGGTTGAAAAAATACTCATCAATTTCATCTTTCATTTCATCGGTAAGTGGGGCAATCTCCCTCTCTTCTCTCGACAAATTTGACCATTTTACCAGACTTGGGCACTGAAAAACGTTTTTGCTTAGTAAGCAATGTACATATCATAGAGAAAAAAGAGTAGCGGTTCAGGAAAAAAATTGAGGCGGAGCCGAATTGGTATATTATTTAATGAAGTGACGTCTCAGCTGTCGACCGTCCCTTCAAACATTGAAAACATTGGTTAGTATGTAAAATGTACACGAAAAAAAGGAATCCAAAAATGGACAAAAGCAAAATTATGTGCCTTACAAAAATAAAATTAGTTCATGAATTTGCAGAAATTTGGCAGTTTCGAAGCATGTACCGAACAAATTAAAATCAAATGCGGATCCGGTCGGTAACTGATTCAACAGAATGATTTTATGTAGTATACTCACAGCATTGAATACATTATCGGCGTAGATCTGATCGCCACCCATGATAAGTAAATGAACGGGGTGTCTACGGTGCTCGTTGCGCATATGTTGCCACATAATATTTCTCTTCGGAGTGTCTGGGATCTCATATAAAGGAAATAACCCTGCACAAGATGCAAACACAAATCGTGGAGTGGACCTCTGACATGGAATGTAGCATGTAAAACTGCGTCCATCTGGTATGGTGTATGTACATATTCCTTCCTGTGAGATAAGTAAACACTAAGCATGTTTGTATATAGTCAAGACGTGGTGTCATACACATTATTTAATCTAGTATACATTATATACAATTGGTTTGCAAACATAAAAGTAGTAGTTGAACAATAGGTCACGTGACCAAAAGTGGTGTGAATCTACTTATTTTTTTATTTATTCAAAAAACGTGGATCACTTCAAATAAGATTAGATTGTTTATTCAAATAAAAATACAGATACAATGTTAACAATGGAAAGTCTGTCACTTATTTTGCATAAGATACATCGCAAGTATATAGTTAGTTTAATAATTAGTATGATATTTTTCAGCAATTTAGAAAAGGTATTGCACCTAGAATTACCTGTTTTGCTGAAATATTTTCTGGAATATTAAGATAAGTTTCTTATTTTCTAAATATAATATTCCATAGCTATTTTATATAATCTCATTGCACAAAAATGTGTTCGGCATTGTTACAAAACGTATGTAGACTTGAGGTAACATACGGAAAAGCATAAATTAGTATTCAAAATATTTAGTTTCGATTGGAGTTCCTGAAGTTTTGATTCTATTGTAACTGTGAATAGAAGTAAATATAATTCGTTCAACTCTTTGTCCATAACATCAAATAAAGATTGATAATACGTTTCGCCTCTGGGAGATACAGACAGCAATCTGTGTAAATTTCCGCCAAAAGGAGCAAACTTATTCTCAATAAACATACCAATTGGTAATACTGGCCTAACACAGTTTTACACTACGATCCGTTCTATGGGCAGATGAAAATAATCCTTGATGATAGAGAAAATGTGTTTTTGTTAACCCATGCGTTAAAAGTGTTCCAGAATTTGTGGATACCCAACAGCATCATACAAACCAGCAATATAATTAATACCTTTGGAAATGAAGTCCAGGTAACACACACTCCTGTCATTTATGAGTATTTTAGATTTGTTCAAAACTACAATATTTTCTACTGACTGAGTAGAAACTTGGAGAAATTTGATAATGCTACCTCTAAGATAGAAAGAGAGATTTTTTCCAAGGATGGGTGACAGTTTGGTCTACAAAACGTTGAATCCACTTGACCCTGAAATCACAATACAAAGCGTAAATATCTAATAAATTACCCCCCTCCCTTGAGCAATATCGCCAATCATAGGATTTCTTGTCACCCTGTTTTTTATAACTATAAGATTAAATAAAAAAAAAGAAATGTTGGAATTAGCAGTGATTTGACTATTTGTGTTTTACCTATCAGTTTTCGAACAGATCAAAGCTGCAAACAATATTCAATATTCAATTTATATGCTAGATCTTTATTGTAACAACATTATATTCCAATAATTTTGATTAGTAACACTGGCCAGCGGATACTGTAAGGTTTATCCGTACGAGACCTTCACGTCCCAAACCACATGGCTTCGATTTTTTCGTAGTTTATTTGTTATCCTGAAAAAGAGCCTATATGTCTAACAATGTAAACAAATGATCAACAGAGCTTAAATTCTTCAAAAAGTAGATTGAATCATCTGCAAATGATGAATATCTTTATTCGAGTCTTGAATATTTATTCCTTTAATAGACTCAATAGTGATGTCAGAAATACCTCAATGGTTTTAATAAAGAGGACAGTTGAGACAGGGTCGCCCTGCCTGACTCCCCTCCCAAAAGCAAAATATCTCAGTACTCAAACCACGGTTCATCAAACAAATGGTCAGATTTTGGTAAAGTGCTTTGACCCAATGCTGTAGTGATTTACAGAAATTAAATTGATTTAATGCATACATTTTCCCACTCCGGGCTATCAAATGCTTTCTGGAAATCGATTGCTCGGAGAATCGCAGATAAATCATTATCTTTGAAGAATTGCATTATACCTTCAATTGAGCGAATTGGGTCAACAATGGATCTGCGTTTGACAAATTATAAGTCATTCACATTCAAGATAATTTTGTGTTTTACCTTTGTCTCATGCCAGGGAACACTCCAATCATATCGCCAAACTATTCTGTCTTTGGACCCTGCGATAGCCATTACGTCATCACTTTCTCCATTAGTAGTTTGATCTATGTAAAAAAAAACGTTTAATTTCATATATCCAAAAATATTATCAACTAACCTTATTATTGTTGTCATGGCTTGCAAGTGGCGAAAAAAATCCATGATCTCTCAGACATCAGAAAAATTATAACAATTATTTAAAGGAAAAATAAAACGCTCTATTCGATGAAAGACATCTTCTACAATTAAACGTATTATGTATGGAATACAGTTTGGTTGATAGTCTAAATCCATGTTTGTAAGTGGGCGGATTAAAATCCAGTACTCGATCTATCCAGTTATCAACAACACACAGTGTTTTACATTAATATTATGTGCGAGGATGTAAATATGGACGAGTATGATTTGTCAATATATATTCATAACAATTCCTTCAAATCAAAATGTTGACACTTACCTGGATGGTCAACAGTGACATATGTAAAGGTCAAATATGGCAGAGGATTCTGATCCTGTGGCGTCACAAGTAAAGCACACAATTGGTATTCATTTTGTACGGACAACGCCCGGCAGCCAAGAATTGGGCCCATGATAAAGTTGATGTCATCCTAAAATCAACAGTTAATATAAAATCCACTCAATGTCAACATTTGATTCTTCAAAATATATATATTTACTCGGCTGGCTAAAAAAAAATAAAGAAATGAATATGTACCTGGATACTATCTGAAAGCACATTGCCTGGGTGGACTTTGTCAGTGGCGTTCAATGTGAGTATTCCGTTTTTCCATTTGTTGAAATTTCCATCGTGAGGAAAGTATGACTTCTTTGAAGTCGACAAGTTTTCAATCTCTACATAGCGAGGTGACCAACCTTCTACGAATCCATTATCGTTGAATCCTGTCATCACAAATAAAATAAATTCAAGAATATACATACAAATGGCATAGAATGAACAACACCACTAATTTATGTTTTAGAGTGTAAGCAAGTTTTGAAATATTGAACTTGTGAATGAGGCCGTGTTTATTATTCAAAATTAAACCATATTAAATGTTTAAATTTATAACTTGGAGATTATTATCGTTGTCAAAAATAGATTTTCGTACAATAAAACAAACCTATTTTAATTTGTTTTACATCGTCAATAGACTTGGTTTCAATGTTGAAAACGTCGGTTCGGCCAGCTTGGAATAAAATATAGTTATCGGGATCGACGGGAATGTCATCAGCAGGCTGCCAAGAGAGAAATAGACAGAAAATATGTAAGGATGTCCTCAACTATTAATATTCATATTATTTGTTAAATGCATATATAACAATGCGTTAATAACAAGGAGGAGTCAACATAACACAATCATACATTTCAAGTTGGTTATGAAACGCAAACAAAAAATAAAAATATAACCTTCAAAGTGACGATGTCGCTTATATTTGGGTCGCCAATCAACTGTATACAAACTCTGGATTCATACGCGTTGTATACGCTGTTTTTCGTCACGACTGTTACTGTATAAGACACCATCGTCCACGATTAATCACTGTTTGTGATGATGATTCCGGTTAAAACTGGAATTCTGCATACATATATTTTGTACAAGCGAAATCAATGGTATACTACTACCTTTACGCATGCGCATCAACAGTTTATAATGTGGAGATTTGTATTAAGAGTGTATTTATAAATTTGCGGGAGATTTATTTTTTAATAATAGGAGACTGTACATTTATTTAGAAAATTTAGAATGACATTTATCGATGCACAATGGTCCAGGAATATGGTCACACTGAACGCCATCGAAAAAGCTACTTTGAATGTGACTTTCTACCAGTCTGAGGTTGTAAAATAACTGTGGCAATACCAATCGTGTCTTTGTTAATTTCCCATACCGTCGGACCAATATTAACCTCCCTATGGTCTATGGTGTATAGATTTTATAGCTCAATGTTCTCAGTTTAACTATACCTCAGAACAGATTTCCCAACAAGCAAAGCACCACAGTCATCGGAACGCGTCATGCCTATATGGGTACCACGTAAGGTATACAACGAATGAAATTACAAAGCGCGATGCGCGACGTCTGTGGTGACGTCAACAATGTTTTATATGCCCACTAAATGGCGTTCCCACAATGCTGTTTGCGTATCCGTTGTTGTATAAGGATTCGTGTTATAGTTTTGCCATACCTACCCCATCAGAACAAAACATTTTATAAAAAGCCGTTTTCTGAAATAAAAAAACAGCAACTTTAAATAGCGTGGGAAAAAAGCGGCACTCTTTTTACAAACCAAGAAATGTATACCTGTGTATATATTCAAGTTAGATAAGAGAGAATGAAATTAATAGAGCAAAGGCTAAGAAAATCATTTTGCTTTACAGACTGATAGAAAGCTCATTGAATTAAGGGTAATTATCTAAGTATGAAGCAGATTTTGTGATTTCCCTACATGTAGGGTCGTCACCTGCGCACGCGCGGGAATTGAGTCCCAGGCGACGATAACAACACACGCTAAAAACGCAAAGGCGCGTGGGTAGACGCTGGTTTGTAAGCAATGACACGCTATGGCCATCTGACGCATGCGCAGGTGATGACTAAATAGTAAGACATGATATATCGTGAAATTAAAACGCTGTGTCAGTAACAAACATTATTCTATAGTATTCTTTACATGAAATAATGCAACTCTAGTGTGTATTGAATCGAATGCACCTATACGTATAGGTGAATTGAAGCTTTGATATTTATTGTTATCTAAGATCTAAGTAAATGATGTCTCAAAGAGAGAAATGTAACACATAATACTTTAAAGGTAGTTGCAGGTATTTTGTTCTTTTATGTGACGAATAAGTACCACAGTTTGCCGATTATGATTTTCAAATTCCACCAGTTCAAGAAACTTAGATTTGATGATTTCCAAATATAAAAAAACCAAAAAAAACTAGTAGAATGTGGCTGATTGTTGGTATCTCCGCTGTTTGAGATGTCAAATCAATCAGTCTAACTATTTTCAATATAACAAAGATATTTATAAAATTAGTCTTTAGGGTTATCAGCAATAAACGATTAATCTGATAGAAGATAAGATGAAGATAAAAAAAATATTCCAACCGTTCAGAAAATTACAATTTATAATTTGGTTACATTCGAAATAAAGTTAATGTAAATACAATAAGGTTTCTATAATAATTGAAAATGAGATAGCTGATGAGGTAATATAAAAAATAATTTTGTTTAAATCCAAAATTGCATGTAGTATGATAATGGGAACTATAATATTGCGATGATTTGTTTTGAGTTTAAATTTAAATTGTTCTTGTTATTAAATTGTGTGAATTTAAAGTTTATTGAGTTAATTGTGTTGTTTGTTTCTTTCTTTGTTGATTAACTTACAGTTTATCAAATGGTGTATTTCATCTTCTATTATACAGCAATGAGAGCAAATTTTTTCTTCTGTTGTTTTCTTCTGATAGACGAATGAATCAAAACAATCTGACCGAGGTCGATTCCAAAATATGAAAACAATACGGCTTGAAGTTTTCATAACGACATCAAAAATTGTTAATAATGTGGTAGAACACATATACATTAATACAAACTCAAACAATGAGACCACAAAGACTCGCATTTTGTGCTGCGTACACGGTGGGCAATAATAAACTCCAACCGAAAGCAAGTTGAACGTGGTGATAGAATGATACATTTCTATTCTTGTTCAAATGAGTTTTCCAATTTACCATAATAGTTGAGTGCGGAATTTGAAATCGCGGTAAATCAATTAATGCATGTTCTGTTTTAATACCATAGCTCA